CCCGCCAGCTCAGGTGTATGTGGCTGGTGCCTTAGCCACTTGAGCCACAGGCACTGAGCCAGTCTGAATTACTTTAAGAAAGGATTTTGAAATTAAGCTTTATGTTATTATGGATTGTTTCAGGTGGCTCTAAGAGCCTGGAATTTGAAAGAATTCTATATTCTACTTATTATAATTCTATCAATTAAAGCTTCCTCACCATATATACCACCATACTCACCAGGGAGATTGACCTCCATTAAGTATTTCATACACAAGATGTTGGGATGAAGATAGCAGTCTTCAGTTATGTCTGGAAAACGAGGCAAATCTAAAAATTTAGCAATTTCAATTGTTTTATCATGGATATCTTCATAGTCAGGCCAAGACTGTAATAAAAGAGAAATCATCATGTTAGCATATTTTGCAACATAAATTATTTTTAAAATATTTTCTGATTTAAAACTACACATTTATTGAATAAAATTTGGAATCCTTAATATTCTATAATAACTTAGAAATTTAAGTTAAGGATTTAGAATCCTTAATATTTTATAATAACTCTAGAAATTTAAACAGTAACAATACTAAATTAAAAAGTCACTAAAATTCTACTTGGTTCATAACATTCCTACTGGCCTTATCCATGATATGGTGAAATCATTACTTCTTCCCTTAGAATAATCTAGAGCAGTGGTTCTCAATGTTCCTAATGCTGTGATGTATGTTCATTGTTACAAAGGGGTCATGACCCACAGGTTGAGAACCGCTGATCTAGAGGAAGGGATAAAGCTATAACCCAATTAGTTATGAATATGATGCTGTCATAACTGCTGTAATACACAACTTTCCTTTACCCTTCATCATCCGCGCTCTCTTACTAATCTTCAAATACGCAGCAACAAATGCAGCTCACTGCTGTATACTATTCACCTACTTCTATGTGAGAGTTAATAACACACTATATAGTAGTTAACAAATACATAATTCATATTCACACTAAACTCCCCCACATAAAAGTATATGATCATCTTACAAAATTCAGGAAAATATGGGAATGAATATTAATAAATTAATTCTCTCCATCACTTTAAGATTACTCTTGTGGTTTTTTGTGTATGTGATTTACATTTTGATTTATAACATTACTAATATTAATACTACACGCTATTTTTCCTCATTTACTCATCTACTCACATAAGAATATTAAGTTTACAGCCTTCTCTATCCAAGGTACTTTGGGAAATATAGGGTGAATAAGATAATCCCTTGAAGGAGTTGACGATCTAGAAAGGGAAATGCTGGCTCGGCGCCTGTGGCTCAAGCAGCTAAGGGGGCAGCCACATACACCCGAGCTGGCAGATTTGACTCCAGCCTGGGTCTGCCAAACAACAATGACAGCTACAACCAAAAAATAGCCAGGTGTTTTGGCAGGCTCCTGTAGTCCCAGCTACTTGGGAGGTGGAGGCAGGAGAATTGCTTGAGCCCAAGAGTTGGAAGTTGCTGGGAGCTGTGATGCCACATCACTCTACCCAGGGGGACAGCTTGAGGCTCTGTCTCAAAAAAAAAAAAAAAAAAAAAAAA